AAGCATCAATTACAGTTGTGAGGTTACAGAGCGCTCAAACTATTGAGGCACTGTCCAGGACACCAAATGTTACTAAGTTTCTCTTCTATTATTTATCCCGTTGATAAAGTTGTCCATGAACTATACTTTTATCCATAGAATACGCATGTTCGTTGGTAGTACCTAAATATCTGTCTAAACACATACTGCTTCGCAAAACAAATTACACGGTTTGCTAAGATCGCCTGTGCTCTCCGTCGGCTTTAAGTGTTAATGCCATTAGTCATTCACTACTACAATAAATACTGACAAGTGTACAAATAAAATTGTTTCTTCATAGGTTTTTATACATATGGGTCTAAGTCGTTCGTCTAGAACCTTAGATACATATGTATAGTAAATTAATCATAATTATAGTTAATTTATTGTAAATGTTAATTAATTAGTACATTAAGATACAATATTCGGTGTAATTTGGCAAATAAGACTATCTTTATTTCGAGATATTACAGTTGAGCTTTTGTTCGGTTGGAGCACAAGGCACGAGCGGGTCGCGGTTAGTTTTGTGAAGCGGACTTTCTTGAAAGGCCTTATCGTAACGACGTCGTATACATTTTGCCAGTTTACAAATTACATCATAAATCCATCCACATTTGAGTTGTTCTGTATATTGTTTGATGTCACTGGACAACATTTTAACCGCAATATTATAAATGGAACGATATCGTAACGTTTTAAGGCCTTGTAGAGTTTGACTGACGCCCGGAACATTTTATTATACTACAGTAACTTTAAAACACAAGACTACACCCGGGTAATTGGTTTAGTTGTCGGGCACATTATTATTGTTATTGTATTACATAAGACCATAAATTGTAAATATTGTAATATCCACTATATTTATAGACTAGAAAATGTATTAGATTGATACGAATTGTAATAAGCTGTTAAGATTTAAATTTAATTTCATAAAAATGAAAAAAAATAATGAATGTCCGGGTGCAGTCAGTTGCGTGAACGTAGCACGACTATTGATCAATTATAGACGCTTTAAATGTTGTGACAATTATTTACAATGTATTGTATTTTTTACTACTTTTCAACTTTTGACAAACGATACAATTTTGAATTTGTAAAGGGAACGTGGAAAGAAATGGAGTCCATTGCCCACAATTGGAACAGTGTAGTAGCTACAAAACTACCAACCGGTATTTGAATTCGTAAAACAAATTTTATATTTTATTTGCTAATACTTGAATTGAGAGTTACAAATACCATTGCAATCGTTTGTCAAGATATTCGAAAATATATAAATAGGTTTTGATGTCTATGACGATGTACGCTTTGTTAAACGCACTGAGTAATTGAAATAAAAACATGTTACAGTGTAACCATTCTTTACTTATGGTTGGCCATCCCTGAACGCAACGTGTGCCGTGTCACGCGCCTCATGCCCAACTCCGATCCTCCGGGCCCGTCAGTGCCGCCATGTATCGTAGAAGACATAAAAATATTCACAATTAAAGCCTATGAAAGGCTTATATTCTGTACCTACTTAATAACTCTACAACGATACATAAGAGAAGTCCTAGTTCCTTGCGCATAACCAGCACTACCCGTCACAAGTGCTTATCCTGTCTTCATGGACGATAATGCTCGAGCAGTCCGAGTGGGTGAATTGAACGCGTAAACGGGGTATTAAGATGTACATCCACCCATCCAACACCTGTTATTACGGTCGATTTTCAACGTATTCCCCAAGAAATCATAATGAAATCTCATTTAAACCATGCCAATAACAGAAATCCAGAAGCCATCTTGGCAAGAAGATGCCTTACGTACTCGACACTAATTTTCTTTAAATGCATAATAAAGGATAACCTCAGTTATAGGCCATCTTTTTTTGTTGGAATGAGTGTGTACAAAAAAAAGTTAGTTTTATTTCCAATGTGTAGCAATTGCGATAACCTTAAAAACGATAATTTTTATTTCAGTTGCGTTAGTATTAAAACAGAGTTACAATATCAGAGTAGGAAATACTCGACAAGTGAACTGTCATGGAGAAGGTTTGAGGCAAGGCTGTTTGAAAATCGTTCATAGATTAATATTTATTCCATACAACTGTTGGCACAGAATTCATAATCATACCGGTAACAGAGAACAAAAAGTAACGAGAATGGACACTCTCCGCTCTTCCCTAGATTTAGATACCGCACCGCGCGGCGCGCCCCGCACATTGACGGTCACATTTAGTGGTGGGCGTTTCAACGATGAGCACTTAAAAAGTCTGCTTTTTAAAATAAGCGTATAAGCGCGCTTTTCATTTTAAGCGTAAGCGTTGTTTTTAAACATAAAGTTTATGCGCTTAAACGTTTTTCTAAACGACTTTTTAAACGTCAAACTAAGAAGCGTTTAGGTGGAAAGCGCTTTTACAAGCACGCTTTTTAAACGTACGTTTTAACGTTAAAAAAAGAAGCTGTTTTCCATTTCCATAACGGTTAACAATTACAAAAGTTAAACAACTTACTTTTTGAACGCTTTTAGACCAATGAATAAAATGTTAATATAATAATGTTATGTCATAATAAAAATACAACTCGTTTTTTACAAAAAAAACTTACTTATCTTAATACCTTTAGTGGTCTACTTTTGCGTTTAGCTATCAACACAACGTTGCAAGCTTTTTTTAACATAAAAGTCTATGCCGTTAAACGTTTTCTAAACGATTTTGTTAGCTTCAAGCTAAACAGCGTTTAAACGTTTAAAAAAATAAGCAGTTTTTCCCATCTTTACTCACATTGACTGAACGAAAACAAGACTGTCGGCGCCGGCGGGCCGTTTTCGTGCTAAGACGGCTTTGATATTTGAATATAGTTTTCATTTATTCATTACGAAATTTGTACGTTAATATAACATCATTGTACGTTACTATTTATAATGGTCGTGAATTGTGCTATGTACAGCTGTTTATTGTCATCTGAACGGGATAAAGGGAGGAATTTCTTTAAAAAAGGAATTTCTTTGAAAAACTTATGTCTGAAACTCATTCAGTTATTGTTTCCTTCATTTATTGAATGCAGAGTACCATAACTTACTTACTAGACGCCATAACTTCATGAGGTAGTAGACAAAGGTTCTCGAATTTTCAATTTGTATGTGTTTTCATTTCTCCAAAGACGCAATTTTCTGTGTCCATGTACTAAACTCCACTTATTAATTAAAACAAAAATCTACAAGAAATAGAGGGTATAATATAGGTCGAAAGTTATCTAGAGAGCACAAAATCTTCCCAATAAACATTTCGGACCTAATGGAAGAAACCGAAATGCATAAAACCCGACAACAGTGGCGTGTACCGAACGCAAAATCCAACATAAAGTGTCATTTTTCTCAAAATTCAAGCCGTATATCAATATTAGACTTTAGTTCGCGTATAATAAATTAGATATCAGTACTTTTAATCCGAATTTTACAATAAACCAGGCAATAGTTTTATCACAATACTCTGGCTTACGCGGCAATTCGGTGGTTGTTACTAATCACGCTACATCACAAGTGAAACGTTTGAGAAGCTTCGCAATTCTTTCGAATTATTCGTCCATCACGCCCCTGCGACTAAAGAGACCAGGTGGATGATTTGTTGCCGATTTTAGGACATTTTCGTGTAAATACGTAATTCGATGGATTTGGTCCAGG